AAGACATTTTATGGGTCCCCCCTACGGGCCCACCCCCCCCCCAAAAGTGTGCCCACAAACCACTTTTTTACACACAAATGGTTTTTTGCAACCCCGGGGGGGGCGCCCCCCCCCCCCCCCCCCCACCCCCACCCCTGTGGCCACGGCACTGGATAGTGTAGCTGAAGTGCATTCTTTCCTCTTGCTCATTTGTTTCTGTCTGTTTATTCACATTTGTTCTGTTAGTATGAAAAAATGTTGTAACTCAACATTCTTTCGTGAGCCTTTTTAGTCTTTTGCTTTTCACAGGTTGGCTGTCCTTTTTGTTACTGGTAGTTGTTTTTTATATTTGTTTTTGATAGTGCAGAGTGGTAGAGCGCACAGTTAGGTTACTCAGTTTATTTTCGATTTTCATTCGTCCGTCTTAGTTTCACATTTATTGACATCGTTTTCAAGTGCTTCAAGAGTGTCTTCATTGTCACGGTCGTCTGTGGCAACATTATCAGTACTATCGTTGGTGTCGATGCTACTGGCCTCTTTGGTAGTACTATTACTTTTCATCATTAATTTTTGTTCACAGGCTGATAGCTTCTCACTATTTTCTATAAGCTGTTTTCCCAGTACTTGTAAATCATTTCGATATAATTTCAATGTCCTGTTCAAATACTTGTATGATGAATCATATTTCTTTAATTCTTTTTCAATATCCGCTAACATTTCAGCAGTCGATTTTCCTTTTATCAAATTCACACCCAATTCTTCATACGCTCTTTTAGCTGTTATTAAGTATTCTTTAGCGGAATGATATTGATCCAATAATATATAGATCTTAGCCAGTTGAATATGACTATGAGCGATTAGCCATATTGGAGATATACATCACTTCAATATATGTTCAAGGCTTATCAATTGATATTTAAATGCTGATCGATAGTCTTTTTTGTGTGTAATATAGATCTTCACAAATAGATATCTTCACAAATGCATGAAATTAGATTATAAGAATTGGTTTTTGTAAATTGTTTCAATGCAACTACATACTATTTTTCATAAGCAATCATTACATCATCGTATTTATCAAGTGATTCATAGTCTTGAATTAGTTTAGTCCATGATGACCTATCATCTAAGTACCATAATGGGTGATATGTTGGAAAGTTAAGGTTAACATGAACTTCACTAAAGTTTAACATTATTAGCCTTCGTTGTTCACAGTGTTCAAAGGCCATTGAAGTATATACTAATTTTTCATTGCCATCTTTAGTCAATCCTACTTTCCGTGCATACATAGAAATCAATGCATCTAATATATGTATTTTTCCTGTTCCGCAGAAAAACCATTCGTATTTTCAAATGCTGATTGTAGATAAGAAATTGCTAAATCATTATGCATCTTAGCAAGATCAGCATCTTTTATATCTCTTAAAATAGACCACACCTGCTCGTCTTCGCGTATTTCCATACCACCTTCCATATTATCCCTCGTAAATATTCTTTCCTCTTCGTTTAAATCATAAATAGATCCAATCTTTTCATCCACTTTACTAATATCAATTAATAGATTCAATTCATCATCGTTTATGCAATTCAGCCAAAGTTTGATTGTTTGTTCATACTGTAATAGAGCTGAAGTATGCTGACCACGCCAGACATCTGTTTTAGCTAGACAATAAAGTTTATAAGCTAATATTCATTCTTTTTCCAATGGAAAATCATCAACTAATTCATTAAATATCATATTAACATCCTCAGACTTGCGATACGGCACGTCGTAATCGCGCCACAATTTGTTGATACAGTTTTTTAAACTTCTTCTTTGACTGCATCCGCTTATTGTTTTTCCATAGTCTAATAACATTAAATCTGAGTTTAAAGAACGTTTAATTATCCAAACTTGCTCATTTTCATCATATATTATTCATCATCTTGGTACATAGTAAACCTACACCCAATCATAAATAGAATTTCGGTTTTCGTTGGAAAATAACCTAAATGTGATATATCACCACAGCGATGTGACTTTTGATTAATATCAACATCAATTTCGAAGAAAACACGTTCTAGTCCTTCCAATTTATCTGATGATTTAATAAATTTTAATGACACACTGCGGTCGAGAGAAGTTGACAGTAGACAGTTGTTCATGTTGGAGTTGAAAGAGCGGTTTTTCTTCAGTTTTCGATTTCATTCATTGACATTACTTGTCCACGGTACAATTTAATCTTTGGGTTCTCCGAGTGTTTTGATTTTAATTTTTCATGTTCGTCTTTTAATTGTTGATACACATCTTTTAAATAGAAGCCAGATAAGAATATAAATGCAACATTATGTTGACGTAGAGCTCTATTGAGTACAACATAGAGAAATGTTGTAAGTGTATACCAACAGACAGCCTTTGTCGAATCATCAAATTTGTTTATAACTTCCATTATTTTTGTTGACGTTATAATGGGATTTTAATGTATCTACAAACTTTTGTCGACCGTAGTGGAACAGGGCAACCTCATACCTTCGAATAATTTGATGCTCATAGTTGATGCCAATCTTTATTGTCGGAGGCAGTCAGCTAAATTTTGTAGATATTGTCGACTTCATGAATATTAGGAACAAGTATTTCTCCGAATGATCTCGATGTAATCAAAAATATTGTGCCATTTTTTGTCTGTTCAATGTACGCTTTACATTCTTCTATATTATCAAACAGTTACTTTACATACAGAACTGTTTAATCTTCTGTTCGCAGAAAAGTGCTTGAATAGTGTAAACGTACGTTATTAGTATTTTGAGGCATCGATCATTTCAAATACTACTGTCTGATTAATCGTATGAAACCTTTTTTCCAAAACGAACTTTGATACCGCTCAATCAAAAACACCCTGGATAATAGAGTATGAAGTAGCGATCCTAAAACCTATTTCGTGGAAACCCGCAGGAAATGCGCGGTCAGTTATTTTCATGTACTAGTCCCATTTGCTCGCACCTTCAGTACCGTGCTCAACGACTCAACGTACTGTTTTCTTGTATTCTGCTTTCGCTTGTTCTTAGCGATAACCAGAACAGTTTATATTAACAACAGACAACTCTTTCTTGTTCTGTGATGCGTTTTCTCTGGAAGGAAAAATGTTCTTCTTTGACTCATATAGAAGAAAAATCCCATCGTGTGCAATGTACACATGCACTACGAGAAAGATCCCATTTGAATAGCAGAAGATATATAATGTGCTCGAATATGCTGAGAGATCTCAAGAACATTCAGCATGAATATCATTTACAAAGCAACAAAGTTTCTAGTCAATTCCGTCGTTTATTCGGTGGTATTACTCTCGATAAACAGTCTAAATGGTGAGCAAGTAAACCAGTAGTAGTTTAAGCGCATATCACAGTTTAATAATCTAAATTTCAGGAGATGGATGTACAACGGATCTATGTCGATCTCAATGGGATTACTGCCAATACGGTCCAGAATACTGCTGTGGACGTGTGGGTGGTTCCGGTCGGCAATCGTCGCTGCGAAGTCACCGCTGATCTCTTTTTGTACATGTTTTCTCTCTTAGTCTTTTGTAAAATTTGTAATTATGAAGCGTTGCGAAGTAAAAATATACTTTTGTTGTGAAATAGCTGTGAATTCTGGGTTGATTCGAATAGACTCTGCTGATTACAGTTGAGTTTTCACACGTTTTAGCTTTGTTTTAAGATCAAGAGAAAAACTAAACAGTTCTAACGGAAGTGCCTCAACATACGAGTATCAGTTTAAGACAAACGCCTTTACGTTAATCGTGCTGCTTTTCGTTTTTTGATTCACTTTCTAACTGGTTGCCACTATCCATCATAAAATATAATACACTCGATTTTTTTGAGTAAATCAAAAACAATAAAAGATAGAGACATGTGGTTTGCAGCAATCGAAAGACGACAGTTTAAACTATACTTACTTTCACAAGCAAGATCATCTTTTGAAAACATTTCGAAGATTGATTTCTACAAGATCTTCGAGAGGCCAGTTCGGATTTCTAGACACCGACATAGTAATATATCGCTCTTTTTTCGTAGATAGATAGTCCGAAGTGTCCTCTACAAAATAAGATCTAAGCAAAAGTTTGGTTTTGCTTGGTTCGGACACCACGGGCCTTTTCCCCCGAAGGCTTAGGGCTTCTCTGTCGTTAGGTTTAGACTGTCAGCAGTACAAGAAACGTAGGTTATCAATTATGATGAATCTCGTGGCAACATTTGTTGTTCAAGAAAGATTTGAAGAACCTAGTAAAAATGTATATTAGGTGAAATATCTCATTTTGCCTATTCTTGATTAAAATCAAAAAACACATAACTCCGTCACGATCCATCCGAATTATGTCAGAATATTAAGATGCACTCTATTTTACCTGCTTCAAACGGTCTTTTACTCGAGAGTAGTGAAAAACATTCTTGTACTTCAAAAGATTCCTAGAAAACCTTTTCAAAAACTGAGGTACTTTCTGTCGCTTGAATTTTTCTGAAAATTTCTTTTTGTCTGCATGGGATGAAGGGCGCCTCAAACTATCTATTTATCTATGTGCAAATCAGAGCCTGCTAACTAGTTCTGTGATACATAAAATATATACCACACCATGTGCAACTAATATTCATTTTTAAATAATAAACAGGAAATTTCAAATGTATTTCGATATTCCACTGTAACATAAAATTAAAAATGATGAACTGTTTATAATATATAATTTTTTTCCATATTCTGTTACTTCGTTAGTGCGTATATACAATAGGAAAAGTAGTATTTTTCCAATTCATTCAAACATGGCAACAGTAATGTTCTCTTTGCTTTTGTTGTCCTTATGCATTATAAGAAGTCTGACATCATCCAAAAATATTATTAACATAGAGGGAATTTTCTGAAAAAACAACGGCCGATATTCTTTTTCCGATAAAAAACACATAAATAGCAGAACTATGTGAAAATGTTAGGGAAGCCGTCAAAATAATGAAATGCGTAGAACGTATACATCAATATCATTCTCTCTCCTTTCTTTTTCTCGTATTTTGCAGAAAGAGAAAGAAAGAGAAAAGTCTGCTATGGTTACAAAATGGAATAAATTTTCGTTTTCTATTATTAATTGTATAATCCAATCTAATCTAAACCTCAGTTATATGTTTTTCTCTAACGAACGAAATGAAACAACAAATTTTATTTTTTCGTCCAAACGTTGATCTACTCTTCTGCAGAAGAAAAATGGCGCTTATTTTGAGTTTAATGCAAAATCACTCAACTTAACGAGATAGGTAGAAGTGAATTAGGGAGCATCCATTTCTACTGTTCATCCCATCTGAAAAAGAAAATGTTCGACAATGTGACAAGCTATTTTTCAGAAATATACATTGTCTCGTTTCTGAGATGTAGGAC